ATTTAATTATAATAATTAATTAAATTATTTAAATAATAATTATTTTAATTATTTCAAACCTTGAGAAAGAAAATTAATCTCAACCTAGATACCTCGATTATCATACATCGCTTGCAATAAAACCCAATGGTACCCAATCTTATTCAACTGTCCCCAAAAATATATCAAAGATATATAAAAATGTCATTAAGCACTAACTTGACAAACAATCGCTTATTCCTACTTAATAGCTAAAAAAGGAAAATAATTAGTCTAAATCCAGATATCTTAGTTATCAGATTCCACTTGCAATAAAACACAATGGCACCCAATCTCCCTCTACTGTCTCTCAAAATACCTCAAAAATGATAAAAACACTAACTGAACACTAAATTAACTAATAATTATTTATTCCCATCCAAAATCTTGAAAAATAAAATTAATCTCGACAGATACCTCGATAATCAGACATCGCTTTTAATAAAACCCAATGGTACCCAATCTTGCCCACTATACCTCGAAAACCAGCTTAACCTCACAAAAATCAACCAATCAACCCAAACACCTTATTCTTCCACCCCCATCACCAATTTACTCCTTCCATCCTATGACACCAACAAATGCATCTCGTCCTCTCGAATAACAGGAGGAAAAACTTTGGTTTCTGTTGCAGGTAGCCGCTAGTCCGTTCGCAGAATGCTGACAGCTGCCGTTTACATAATTTAAATAGGTACGTGGACATGTTGCAGGAAAATTGGTTAAACGGGCCGATAACGCGTGCGTGAAAGCCTTAAGGATGTTTAAAAGGTTATAAACGATTATTCTGTCCGATTCACGCCGCAGATAAACTTTCTCGTTCGAATATAGCTCATTAAAGCGGCGGTGTTTAAATACTAACCGGGGCATCGATGGCCTTTTTTACATGCTGGCATCGTTTAAGGAGAATTATAACGATGTCCGTGCAACGAAAGCGGACCGTTTAATCCGGCCGAACCGTCTTTGTATGTTCTATCGTGTGAAGATCGGCCACGATCCCGCGGTTCGACGCTCAGCTTCTGTGTACCATCGCGAAAGTTATTATGCCGCCGATTGAAAACATCGCCGCGATTCGACGTGCTGCCAGTCTCGCGATTTCCAACTCGTTATCTGTCTTATTAAATTTCGCGCCACGATTTTACGTCCTTCCCCATCGACTTTTCCGCCTCTTCTTTCTTTTGCCGCCCGCCATCTTGGTTCCTTTTTACCGGCTAGGAGAAATCATGTTGGCCGCTGCGCGAGGAGAAAGGGTATGGGAGAGGTTATGTCTGGAACGGTTTTAGGTTAGGATGGTTTTCGATTGGTCACGATAGATTTGTTTATAGACTGATTTTTATGATTTGGTATCGAGTGATTTGAGGTTAGGAAATTTGTTTTTGAGAGTTTGGTGAGAAGAGGGTGGGAAGTAATGGTATTTTTGAGTAAAGGTTGATATGGATAATGGTATTTTTAGTATGCGAGTAATTTGACGGGAAATTGGTGGACAAGTGAAGTGCCATTTTTAGGTGAGATATTCAGTGTAGATTTGTTGGATTAGGAATAAAGTTTCTGTTTTGAAACAGAATTGGAAATAATGGAATTTGTGTAAATACATTATTTTGCAAAATAATTCAAAGGAAAATAAGAAGTAGATTACAATAGAATTTTTAATAATGGTCTTCAGATTAGAATTATTGAATGGCAAAAATTTTTAGCGAGTCGTGAAATTATAATTTTTCTACATTTTTTATTCTTCAGTAAAGCAATGTGTTTTCTTAATAGCAGAATTGAAAAGATAATATAGTTTTATAAGAAGCATGGAGATAATATGCCATTTTTATATAGGGTCTTCAATTTAGAATTATTGAATGGCAAGAATTTTTAACGAATCGTGAAATTATTATTTTTCTGCATTTTTTATTTTTCAGTAAAACAAAATTTTTTTTTTTTAATAGAAGAGTTGGAGACAACGTAGTTTTGCAATAAGTAGGAAGATAAAGAGCCATTTTTATTTAAAGTGTTCAATATAGAATTATTGGATGGTAAAAATGTTGATAAAAATAAGTTAGTTTTAATATTGGTCGTTTAGTAAGAATGAAATTTCTGTTTTTAGAAAAAAATTGGAAATAATGTTATTTATTGGAGTATAATTCAAAGAAGAATAACTAGAAAATTAAATTGCCATTTTTATCTATGCGATTTGATATAAGTCAATAATTTGGAAGATTAATTTCACGGAAATTAATAAATTAATTAATAGCTTTCTAATAAATTTAATTTATATTATACCAAAAACATTTACAACTTTGTATAAACCTGTTTTATTTAAGGTTGTTAATAATATATTTCCCCATAGTTCAGTTTAAACAATATTATTTATTACAAATTAAAATTTGTCTAAACTTTCCGCCATACAAATACGTATATCGGAACTATATAGAAACCATAGTCAAATATTACAAATTTCCATAACTATGGAAACATAATACTAACATAATTACTAACATAATTACTAACATAAGTTATGAAAAATTGACAATAATTTTTATATGGGAAGAATGAAGTGTGCCTTTGGGATATTTATTTACTATAATACTAACATAATTACTAACATAAGTTGTGGAAAATTGACAATAATTTTTATCTGGGAAGAATGAAGTGTGCCTTTGGGATATTTATTTACTATAATACTAACATAATTACTAACATAAGCTGTGGAAAATTGACAATAATTTTTATATGGGAAGAGTGAAGTGTGTCTTTAGGATATTTATTTATCACATAAAAATTATTGTCACTTTTCCACAACTTAAGTTAGTAATTATGTTAACATTATGTTTCCATAGTTATGGAAATTTGTAATATTTCACTATGGTTTCTATATAGTTTCTATATAATTCGTATTTATATCGAAGAAAGTTTAGACGAATTTTAATTTGTAATAAATAATATTATGAACTATAGATTATTCTGAAATATAGATATTTACCATATAGATACCCCAAAGGCATACTTCACTCTTCCCACATAAAAATTATTATCAATTTTCCATTTATTTACCATATAAATACTCCAAATGCACACTTCACTCTTCCCATATAAAAATTATTGTCAATTTTTCCTTTGTCAACTTCATTTATGTACCCAACATACAAAAATCCTATCCACTCCATTTTTCAAAACCTCATACCACGACATACCATAAAAATGAACTTCACTTTTGGCATATAAAAATTATTGTCAATTTTCCATTTATTTACCATATAAATACTCCAAATGCACACTTCACTCTTCCCACATAAAAATTATTGTCAATTTTCCATTTGTCAACTTCATTTATGTACCCAATATACAAAAATCCCAGCCACTCCATTTTTCAAAACCTCATACCACGACATACCATAAAAATGAACTTCACTTTTGACATATAAAAATTATTGTCAATGTTTCATTTGTCAACTTCATTTATGTGCCCAATATACAAAAATCCCAGCCACTCCATTTTTCAAAACCTCATATCACGACATACCATAAAAATGAACTTCACTTTTGGCATATAAAAATTATTGTCAATGTTCCATTTGTCAACTTCATTTATGTGCCCAACATACAAAAATCCTATCCACTCCATTTTTCAAAACCTCATATCACGACATACCATAAAAATGAACTTCACTCTTGGCATACAAAACTTATTATCAGACACCCAAATTACTCGAATTTCATTTATCATACAAGACCACCCAAATAGCAACAGTCCTGCAAAATTTCACATCGCAAAATCCCATGGTGCACGTTGCATCGAGAAAGTTGAACGCTGATCCTATCTTCGGTAGTATAAAATTCCGTCCGAAAGTTAGCCGGAAGTTGTCGACCTTCGCGTGACGTATCGTCGATATATCTCGAGCAACCGCAAGACAGGCGACGTTTGTAGGTTGGACAGGCCGCGAAAATGACGCGATACGACGAAAGTGAGGATACGTTGGTTAATCAGGCTTGCACCCGAGCTCTGCGTAACTCGGTCTGCACACGGACGGAACTAAAGCCAGGCATGTTTCGCCACAGATGTTACAGACTGTCCAGGATGGACGTAATCGCATACAATCATCACCACGAGATCGCGAGCGCCGAGTACATCATCGATGGCGGTGACCTCGAGGGCCAGAACGAGGACGAAGACGAGGAGCTCCTCTCCTTCATCGACATCGACCAACGTGTCCTAACCGAGGGCCATCTGTCCGCAGCGAGTGGCGACAAGAGTAGCAAGGCACCCCTCAGGAGAAGCCTGTTCTCGCACGTGGCCCCCTACATCGTGTTCCAATCCTTCGACTGCAAGGGACCAATAATGCCACACGAAGTAACGAAGTACCTCAAGTGGCAACTGAGTTCGATCACGCCACCAATTGTACGCCATATCTTGATCAACTCAGGTTTCCAGCTGATGAGTATGTGCCAGGGCTGGTGCGGCACCTGGGGCAAGCATATGAAGTCGTCGTGCTTCATGTCGGTGAAGGAGTCGCAGAAGATCAACCATTTCCCTGGCACCTTCGAGATAGGCCGAAAGGATTGCCTCTGGATAAACCTCAGCAAGATGATGATGAAACACGAGGTAAAGGAGTTCGATTTCGTTCCACAGACCTACTTGCTGCCACGTGACCGCAGCTACTTCCGCCAAGTGTGGAAGTCGGTGGGTAGCAAGGCGATGTGGATCGTGAAGCCTCCAGCCTCTGCCAGGGGCACTGGGATCGCAGTGGTGAACCGTTGGTCCCAGATACCGCAGAAACGAGCCGTGATCGTGCAACAGTACCTGTCCAGGCCTAAGCTGATCAGTGGAGCCAAGTTCGACCTGCGTCTCTACGTGCTGGTCACGAGCTTCAACCCGTTGAAGATCTTCATCTACTCGGACGGGCTGGTCCGGTTCGCCTCTGTTAAATACAACGACGACATAAACTACCTCAGCGACCGTTTCATGCATCTCACCAATTACAGCATCAACAAGACCAACTCTACCTACACCAGCAGCGACTGCGTGAACTCCAGCACAGAGCTCAAGTGGGCTCTCAAGACTCTGTGGTCCTATCTAGCGACGGAGGACGTGAACGTTTCCAAACTGTGGGCCAGTATGAAGGACATCGTCGTGAAGACTATGATAGCCGGCGAATCCGCCATCACTGCCCTAACTAGGATAACCAATTCGTCCAGGTACTGCTGCTACGAGTTGTTCGGCTTTGACATCCTCTTGGACGAGAACCTCAAGCCTTGGCTGCTAGAGGTGAACATCTCACCTTCACTGAAGACTTCCACGCCATTGGACACGGCTGTTAAGGCGCCACTCATGAAGGCCGTGTTTAATATAGCCGGATACCAACTGCCAAATTCGCTGCCTATGGAAGAGACCAAGAAGCTGGCTGAGAAGTACCAGTTGGACACGGTGTGTCAGGATTACAGGCTGCACAAGACTGCGTTGAGCTACCAGGAACGGCTCAAGCACTCTGTTTACATTAATCTGAGGAACAGAGACGACTACGTGGATTCCATTATCAAGAGTCTGACCCCGGATGACGTTAGACAGCTGATCACTTACGAAGACGAGCTCACGCAGTTGGACAGGTTCGAGAAGATCTTCCCTACGTCCACTAGCTACGAGTACCTGCAGTACTTCGAGGTGCCTAGGTACTATAATATGTTGCTGGATGCGTGGGAGACGAAGTACGCTGACAACAGGTCTGAGGGGATCATGAAGCTGCAGAAGCTCTGTCGACAGAAGTATCATTTGGAGCAGCAGACGTGTGCTGCGGAGGAAAATTAGGGAATGGCTAAGAGTATGAAGCTTATTGGGATTTGTTGATGTACAAATTCTCTATTTTTGCGAGTTATATTGAACAGGTGGGATGGTAATGAGAGACAAGAGAAACAGGAAGATCGATGATCGTCCTACGTGTGTCTGTGTAAGCAAATGGTAATGTCCTTGGTTTCGATTATTGCACTTTGTGTTTCAGACTGCAATGGAGGACACTTTAATCACTGATTTATTATTTTAATTTTTATTCCAAGTGTAATTGAAAATGTAACGTAATCCATTTGTCGTAATTCGTTTGGTTTATATTTTGTTGACGTACGAGCAACGAGCGTGCAAATTCAAGTGTCAATTTTTTCGATCACTACATTATTGTAAAATTTTTTTTAATCCCTCGGTAGTGAAATAAAAAAGGAAATAAGAATTGGTTTCAAAAATATTTATGCGTTTTCTCATTTGCCATGATCCTTCCCCTTTGCGAGGAAAATGTATTGGTATTGTAGGAATTAAATTGTAATGAAGAATGGTGGAGAAGAAAATTTGTAAATTTTTAGGTACAGTGTTCTATAGTGTTTGGTATAATATATTTTGGGAATTTTTTAATAAAATATTTATGGCAAGATTTTTGTAAATTCTGATTTATTGAGGAACGAAATAAAATTTTCAATGAAATTGGAAAATTTTGAAAATGGTTTTTAGGAATCGATTTTTAATTACTGCTTGTGCAAATTATAATCGCTATGAGATTTAAATGATTACCAGTAATTTTCAAATAGCACTAATAATAAGATAGAAGCAAAATTTTTGTTTATCTGTTCATATTTAATAATTTGAATATCTTGATATCTATCTCTATCCTCGTCTTAATATATTCAAAAATATATTGTTATAAATAAATGATTAAATTACAATAAAGTATGGTAGTGAAGAAAATTTTTAAATATAGAGGTATAGTGTTCTATAGTATTGTGTATTATATGTTTCTGAAATTTTGCAATGCAACGTTTGTTGCAAAATTTTTGCAAACTCAGATTTGTTAATATGCAAATAAAATTTTCAATGTAATTGAAAAATTTTGAAAATGGTCCAGCTTTTTAGGAATAGATCTTTACCGTTTGTACAAAATTGTAATCACTATATCAATTAAATATAAATGAGTACCAATAATTTTCAAATAATGCTAATAATAACAGAACCAAAATTATTCAAAACTATATTATTATAAATGAAGAAATAAATTACAATAAAATATGGTAATGAAAAAAATTTTCAAATATAGAGGCATAGTGTTCTATAGTGTTCTGTATTCTATATTTCTGAAATTTTTTAATTAAACGGTTATTGTAAAATTTTTGCAAACTCAGATTTATTAATATGCAAATAAAATTTTCAATGCAATTGAAAAATTTTGAAAATGGTCCAGCTTTTTAGGAATTGATCTTTAAATACCCTTTGTACAAAATTATAATCACTATGCCATTTAAAAGAATGTCAATAATTTTTAAAGAACACTAATAATAGCGTAGAACCAAAATTTTTGTTTATTTGTTCGTATTTAATAATTTAGACATCCTGATCTACTTTTATCCTTAATCCTAACAAATCTGATTCCATTTTTAACAACAATTGGGTACATCGCATGACCTACAAAATTACCACAATCGAATAAATAGTTCTTGAAAATATTCAGCTAAAAGTATTAAAAAATCCTTTTGTTATTAATCAGTAATATTGGAGAATAATTGTTCAAAGATCCATTTATTATTAACCAATGATATTGAAAAATATTCAACCAAAAATATTGAAAAATCTTTCTGTTAGTAACCAATAATATTGGTAAATATTCAGCTAAAAATATTCAAAAATCCTTTTGTTATTAATTAATAATATTGAAAAATCATTGAAATCAAAATCAAAATTCAACCAAAAATATTGAAAAATCTTTTTGTTATTAATCAATAATATTGAAAAATATTCAGCAAAAAATATTCAAAAATCATTTCGTTATTAACCAATAATATTGGAAAATAAAATATTAAAAAATCCATTTGTTATTAATAAATAATATTGAAAAATATTCAATTAAAAATATTGAAAAATCTTTTTATTATTAATCAATAATATTGGTCAGTATTCAGTCAAAAATATTCAAAAATTATTTTGTTATTAACCAATAATATTAAAAAATGTTTAGCTAAAAATATTAAAAACTCCTTTCGTTATTAACCAATAATATTGGAAAATAAAATATTAAAAAATAATATTGAAAAATATTCAACCAAAAATATTGAAAAATTATTGTGTTATTAACCAATAATATTGCAAAATAAAATATTAAAAAATCCATTTGTCATTAACCAATTCCATGTTTAACAACAATTTACTACATCACACGATCTGCAAAATTACCACAATCGAATCACGACCTATCCCAAACTTCCCTGTAAAATCCCCAAAAACATTGATTCTCACAAACCAACTTCAAAACCTGCCCACAACACTCCAACTTCAAATCACAGCAAACCCAAGAAAGCAGCGCAAACTTCAGCGCAGTTTCACCCATCACTAACCCCAACTGCCCCACTTTCGGCCAAACCCTTCAAATTTCCAGTGAAACCGTCTCCTCGCACCACAACGTTTCACCCCAAACCCAAAAATCCTCCAAACAAACCCTTTGACAGCAGCAAGAACCTTTAGGAACCGAAAGCCAAGCCCAACATGACGATCCGATCGATCCGAGACTCCTCGACGAGCACCTGTTCCGGCAAATTATCATCGAGCTATTGCTTCGAGGACGACGAAATGTACTCGTACACAGAGATCACGGAACGTCTGATAATGGCCAGGCCGATCCGTCGAATGGTGGTCCATCCGGTGGGCTTCGTCGACAAAAACTTGTCTCTGCCTATGCGCTGTAGCCTGTTCCCTCATGTCCCACCGTTCATCATCTTCCACACGAACGAAAGCACGAAGCTGCCGGTACAGATCAGCAGACACCTGTGGTGGTGGCAGGCTAGGAGGCATAGCCCTGGACTCATCGTGTCCATGGTACGTAATTCCGGATTCAAGATCACGGACAAGTCGTCGACCAACTGGTGCGGTACCTGGTGCAGCACCTCTGCCTATTCCAAGCTCAGACGAACCAAGATCTTCTCCAAAGTGAACCATTTCCCCAACAGCTTGGAACTGGGTGACAAGATACTGCTATGGAGGAACTTCCGCAGGGTGAGGAGGAAATTTGGCAGCAAGAACTTCGGCTTCATGCCTGTCACGTTCGTGCTGCCCGATGAGAGACTAAATCTGAAGAAGTTCATGCAGAAGAACGGAGGTATTTGGATAGTGAAGCCACCAAACTCGTGTGCTGGCTGTGGGATCAAGATCATCTCGAACTTACTCGAGATACCTAACTATCGTTCTCTGGTGGTCCAACGATACATCTCTGCACCTAAGTTGATACATGGTATGAAGTTTGACATAAGGTTATACGTGTTGCTGACCAGCATTGACCCTCTCAGGGTCTACCTCTACAACGAGGGCCTGGTCAGGCTGGCTACGATCAAGTACGCGAACAACGAGAAGACTCTGTCAGACAGGTTCATGCACCTGACCAACACCAGTGTGAACAAGCTCAGTCCGAATTTCAGACCCAACGATGACCCAAACGAGTGTAAGGGCAACATGTGGTCACTGAACTGTCTGTGGAAGTACCTGGCTACCATTGAAGACGTGGACGTCTTTAAGATCTGGACCAGGATCAAGGACATCGCTGTGAAGACTGTCATCTCTGCTGAGCCTGCTCTGTACAGGGCTTGGAAGAAGACCTCTATGTCCACGTACAACTTCTATCAGCTGTTCGGCTTCGACGTGCTGCTGGACAGGCAGTACAGACCTTGGCTGCTCGAAGTGAACGATTTCCCGTCGATGGAGCCAGACACTCCTCTTTGTAAACTGGTCAAGGGTCAGCTGGCTAAGGATTACTTGAATCTGGTCGGTTTCCACGTGCCTAACTTGCTGAATGACAGGGAGCTGAAGATCCTCAGGCTGGCTTACAAGAAGCACGCTATTTGCTACAATAGGAATCTGCATTCGAATATTCTGACGTGGGAGGAGAAGAAAAAGCAGTACAACTTTGTGAACAAGGCTGCTAGGAAGTATTACTTGAAGTCGATCCTGAAGACTCTCACTCCTGATGACGTGAAGGTGTTGATTAGACACGAGGATGAGATCTGTCATACTGGTCGTTTCGAGAGGGTCTTTCCTACATGTAGTACGTGTAAATACTTGGACTTCTTTGAAGAGGTTAGGTACTATAATTTGCTGCTGGACGCGTGGGAGACTGAGTATGGGTATAATAGATCTAAAGGTGTCGATAGATTGAAGAAGCTTTGTAGGAAGAAGTATCATTTGTCTTGAAGACTTTCATGGATCTTTGGCATTTTATGCATCTGTCGATATTTGGGATTTTATGGATCTATCCATATTTGGTATTTTATGGATCTATGGATATTTGATGGATCTGTCGATATTTGATATTTTATGGATATATCGGTATTTGGTAATGTATGGATCTATCGATATTTGGTATTTTATGGATCCATGGATATTTGGTATTTTATGGATCTATCCATATTTGGTATTTTATGGATCTATGGATATTTGATGGATCTGTCAATATTTAATATTTTATGGATATATCGGTATTTGGTATTGTATGGATCTGTTAGTATTTGGTATTGTATGGATCTCTTGGTATTTGGTAATGTATGGATCTATGGATATTTGGTATTTTTTGGATCCATGGATATTTGGTATTTTATGGATCCATGGATATTTGGTATTTTATGGATTTATCGATATTTGATATTTTATGGATCCATGGATATTTGGTATTTTATGGATCTATGGATATTTGGTATTTTATGGATCCATGGATATTTGGTATTTTATGGATCTATGGATATTTGATATTTTATGGATCTATGGGTATTTGGTACTTTACGGATCTTTGGATATTTGGTATTTTATGGATCTATGGATATTTGGTATTTTATGGATTTATCGATATTTGATATTTTATGGATTCATGGATATTTGGTATTTTGTGGATCTATGGATATTTGGTATTCTATGGATCTATGGATCTATGGGTATTTGGTATTTTATGCATCTATCGATATTTGGTATTGTATGGATGTGTCAATATTTGGTATTTTATAGACCTATGGATATTTGGTATTTTATGGATCTATGGATATTTGGTATTGTATGGATTCATGGATATTTGGTATTTTATAGACCTATGGATATTTGGTATTGTATGGATTTATGGATATTTGGTATTTTATGGATCTATGGATATTTGGTATTTTATGGATCCATGGATATTTGGTA